GTAAATGTAAACCTGATTATTTGTATTAAGCAGTTATTTAATGCTCATTGTTTCACAGTGAAAAGAAACCGACTGGATTCGTTGTTTTCTGCCAGTGAACGTCACTTCCTTTATTCCAGTCAGTCAGTGTAGGAAAATAGATTCACATTAATGTTCTTTCCTCCGTCACTTTTCTGTTTCTCTTCACAACAAACAAACAAACAAACAAAACCGGCTCCAGAAAAACAAAGCGGGCGGAGCAACAACTCACACAGGTAAAGGTGCATTTCACTGAATATTGTCGTTTCCAAACCGAAGGGCAAACAGGGAAGGTTGTTGTTTTTTTGGACCGATGTCGACCCCCGACCTTCAACATTTATTTATAAGAGAAAAGTGCAAAAAAATACAAAAGCCAGCGAGTTACAGGGAAGAAAACAAACGTTTAACGTTAATAATATACAAACAGTCACAGGAAAACCATGCAGGAAGCCGGCAGCGTCTTCCACAAAGAAAAGATATTTTTAAAAGATCTTCATAGCAACAGTAATAATAATAAAATCTGCACATCAACGAGCTGTACATCTGTACGGAAACAGCAACGACACACAACAAAAACAGAAATTAAATAAGAGAAACTCTCAGATTCAGTAAAAACAACAGAAAGCGGCAGCACGAAGCTCCACGTGTTGCTGTCTGATGTCAGAGTCCCACTCAGGTTCACTCAGGACTTCATTACCCAGAGTTCCTGAGCCTGAGAGGTAGCAATGCCTGGAAGGCTTCACTCAGGGCAAAAAGAGTAAATAATCCTCTTTATCACTGTTAAACCAGAAAAACTCTGAGTGGGTCTCTGACAGGAAACAGGGCTACTTTCAGTTTAAACTGGGAGGTTCGACCCAACCACCATCACAACACCACCATCACATCATCATCGACCATCACCCGCCAATCACCTCATCACATCAACCACGCATCGCACAGCCATCACCAATCGTGCACCATTACACCCATCACCCCCCCATCATCACATTGCATCACCGGATGAGCATACTACAGCCATCCGTCGTTCCGTTCACAATGACTGCGGCGTTTGACCAGGATCAGCTCCGTCACACTAACGTCACCTGAACGTTGACTCACCAGACTCCACTCGCGTTTCAGCGAATTTAAGAGTTTCGTGAGACGTTTTCCTTCCGGGTCGTTCGCAGGTCGTCGTCACCACTCGGGTCATTTAACGACCGTCACGTGACCTGAATGACCCTCAGGTGATGTCAGAGACTCCCCAACAGTCAGAGCCTCCTGGGGGGGGACGAGTCACCTGAGGGTCCCTGTAGCTGTGGGGGTCACGAGGTCAGGTCAGGTGAAGTTCGGCCGGAGGGCAGGAAGTGAACGCGGTGAAGTCGTTGCTACGGTAACCACTGACAACAGATTACCTGGATTCATCAGGTGATTTCAGTTTGAACTCAAGCTAGACTATAAAGTTATGATAAACTGTCTACAATAAGTCTCCGTTTGACATCAAAGACAAGGACTGCCACCGACTGAAGCTGTTTCCATGGTTACTCGCGGAGACTCGCTCCCCGTTGTGTCGTCGTGGCAGCGGTAGAAACTGTTTTTATGGCCGTGACGTTAGAGGATATAACGGCTTCAGTGAGGTGGTGAAATATATTATAAATATAGAACTTAAACTGATGTCGTGCCGCCGCCGCCGCGTCCACAGAGGAACTCGCCAGCAGTTTTCCTCGTGGTTTCTGCGTTGGATCGATTCGAGCAACCGTGGTTTGTTTCACTTCCTGTCCTCCACCTGCAGCCGAGTGACCTCGTGTGCAAACAAGCTATATAACACCACAGACAGGAAGTGACATCAGAGGACGTTGTGTCATCGAGTCTGATCCTTTAGCGGTCAACGCACCGCTACCCGAATCCCGATCCTTTAGTCTTTGATTATCAGACCCGTTTCTGGTTTTGTTTTGAGCAACGTGGCTCCACAGTGAAAGATTCCCGCTCCACCATCAAACCCGATGTCCCTGATGCAGGTCTGGTCCCAACTGGTCCAAACTGGTCCCAACTGGTCCCAACTGGGCCTTCCTGCCCTCTCTGACCTCCCATGAACAGTGACTCCAGTTAAAGGGTCAAACTGGTTCTTCTTGCAATCATTTCCTGCTTGTAGTTTTTGACTTTCACACACTTTCTTCACACATCCAGTTTCTCTATTCGGGACCAGAGTGGATCCGTTTACTTACTCTGAGTCTTCCACAGTGTCGCTCATCTTTCAGCCTCCTGACAAACATCTACAGCTAGTGAAGGAATTCCCAGTTCTGAGGCCTCCACCCATCACGGACACAGAGTCCAGGACTTTTCCAAACACATTCCACATTTCCAGTTTAGCCCAGTTTGGCCCAGTTTGGTCCTGCAGAGGAAACACAGCGGCATCGACTCTGGATTCCCAACAAGACCCTGAAAGCAACATTTCACTTTGCTATCGGGCTGAAAGTGACAATGAGTTAATAACAGAGTCACAAGTGAAGACCAACAAACACAAATGTCCTCACTTTATGTGACTCCAGGTGTCCTGACTGGATGCTGTTTTCTAACCTACGACTTTATCGAGTCCAGACTCGAGTCACCGGAGTCGTGACTCGAGTCCAGGTCACTGAGGTCTTTACAGAAGTGAAATGTTGCTTTAAACCGTCTCCGATCCCTCCAGTTACTGCAACTTTAACGTGTTTCCCTCTTTATTCATACTGTTAAACTCTTTAACAATTTAAACAAGAATTATTATTCTGAAGTTTTTGCATTAAAAAATAAATCTGGCGCCGTTCAGTCTGTCTCTAGCAGAGTGCAAGCAGAAAGCAGAACGATACATCCATAAATACGTGTCAATGTATTTTCTCAATGCATATAACAATAAATTCATAACATACGAGAACCTTCTCTTGTTTTTTAACAGTGCAACTTTTCATCAGTTTCAGTTGTTCTGTGTGAACGGGGCTGAGGCTCGGCGGTTAAAGGGAGGCCCAGACGGTCGAGCTTCCACCGGTGGAGAAATCTTTTGGCACGTCACCGTAGTGATACAAAGAACAATGAGCATCATTAGTGCTTGTTTTAATTACACGAGGGGCGGTGCTGTAGCAGCGAGCGCGTGAGCCAGGCCGCACACCTTGAACTCACTTTCCCATCATGCAACAGGTAATAACAGTCATTAAGTGTTTGGCGTCCCTTTGACCGACCTGAAGCTCTCGTTGTCACAGGACGAAGGGAAACAAGAACACACACACACACACACACACACCTGTATTCACACCTTGATGTGCGAGCGTCGACAGAAAAAGGTTTTTGTACAAACGTGTGATCACAGGATGGAAAACAGCGAAGGTCGACGGCGGCGCCGAGCCCTGCGGTTTGTAGCACCAACGATGAAGAAGAAGACGCCCTCACACAGAGCGAGAGGCAGTTTGGCAGCGGCGAAGAACTAGCGTCAGCAATGTGACATCACCACGGCAACTGGGTTTTTTGTTTGAATCAGGACGAAACTTTATTTTACAGCAGATTCCCGAAACTGTAACTTTATTTAAAACTTCTTAAAACAATTTAACACCTAAAAACTGAAACAGCTGATTGATCAATCAGCATATCGATAGAAACGATTCAGTCCTTTTTAAGCTTTCCTCTCCGATACTGAAGATCTTTGGCTTTCTGACTGACGTGAGACACCTTGAGCTTATTGATCACCATTTACTTCCAATCAATCAAATAACTGAAAACCAATTACAAGACTTAAACTTTGGATATGGAGGGTGAAGCATTAAGTGTCTGTATCGATTAACAGAACAATCAATCGGTTTATTGGACTGTGGTGTGAAACCCAGCTGAACACTTTGAACGTGGAAGGTTTTGTCACATTGCTGATCCATACTTCAGTGGGGATCAATAAGAGGTGGTCGGAGAGTTAGTGCAAAGGACGCATGGCAACAACAGCTGAGCCGGCTAGCAGGCTAATCATGACTAAACTTCAGTGCTACAGAATCCCTCATTAATACGTCGTACTGCATCTTTACAGCGCTACGTGGCAGCTAACTTTGTGCTTTGCTCTTTGTGCTTGAGCAGGAAAGGACGAACTTCTACTCGTGTTTCTGTGGCGGCGATTAAACGCGGCGAATCGCCATCTCTTCACTGACGTCCGTGTCCCAGCGAGCTCTGCTGGAGGCACAGTAAGTGCTAATGTCGGTCTCACGAGCGTCGAGAGAACTCGGGGGAAAATAGTTGAGAGAGAAAAAGAAACATTACGTCTTAAATACGTCTCAGTGTGGTCGGAAGGGCTGGGTTTCAGTTTTACACTAAATCAAAGTTCTTGTGTTAACATTTGAGAAGTTTGGCTTCTTTTGTTCAATACGAGGATTAGAGGATCCGTTCCCTTTTTGTTTTCTCAACTAATCAAAAGTGATTAATAGGAGTTGTAGTTGTTGCTCTCTCGAAGGCCACAGAGGTCACAGTGTGGAGCTTCTTCCTCCAATAAATGATCTGATTGATTTTTAAGGTGGAACGGCTTTATTCAGTGTTTTTAGTGGTTTTTAACCAGCGTCAGTTTTCGGGGAAGGAGGAGACCTCTGAGGATGATCTAGTGTCAGAAACGACACTCTGGAGCTGCTGAGCTGGCGGCCTGTTTCCAGCCACACTGATTACAGCGCCACAAACCCACCACAGTCTCGCACCCGACATGAGCTGTTTTTGTGTTTCTGATCAATTTCAAACAATCTCGTGACCAAATATGATAAAAACGAGTCTCAGACTAAGTTTCTGATCACTGACCTCGACCAAACAGGATAAATAAATAATTCAACTTAAGATGACCGAGGCTCATTTTACACAACACTTCTGGCCAACAGCTTGTTTGCAGTCGTTCCAACGACGGGTGGAGACGGAGGAACAGTCTGTGCTGCGTTCGCTTTAAGGTACAAACAGACGTTGGACCGTTTGCTCCCTCAAAGCCACCAGACTCCATTAATGAAAACAGTGATTTTACCTCAGGACGCAGGAGTTTGTGTTGTTCTGTGTCTTTGGTGTTTTATCAAGTTCATCTGAAATCCGAACCAACGCTGGTCGCTGCGGATCAGAAACTGTTCTGTGAGGTATTAAAGGAGTCCGGTGTCTCTGGAGAGAGCACAGATGGACCACAGCTGAATACAGACACTCACAGACTCTGCTGCTGCGCGTCCACAGAAGTACAATAATAAATGTTTCGCATCGGTCTGATCGATTTGAGCAACCATAAATAACTGTGAGCGTTTGCGACGGTGCTGACGGGATCGCAGCGCCACTTCAGAAACAGCTACTGACACAAACACTACAAACAAACCAGAGCTGTTCAGAGCAGAGCGTCCTTCACTTTCTGAAACCTTTCAAGGACATTTTTATTGCAGCTTTGAGAAAAGCTTTCAGCATCCTAACATCTACATTTCCATGAACTGAAGGAGAATCGAGGCCGAACTCTAAAGAGGTCATTTTTTCAGATGTAGCACAGAGAACCTTCACAAGGCTCTGACCCGTAGTACCTATCGACCCACTGAACCCTCCTCCCCTCTGTCTTTCATCCTCCCTCCTTTATATCACTCTCTTATTTTATCTGTGGGCTTTTTTCTTGATGATCTGAAGCGACGCGGCGGACGACCAAAACCTCAGCGCAGAGTACGAGGAGTCTGGAGGCGAAGCACACGAGGACGAGAGGAAGGCTTGATTTCAGGCTCGGGCCACCGGAGGAGTCGCTCTTCTGGTTTCAGCCACAGACAGACAGACAGACAGACACACAGACAGACAGACACACAGACAGACAGACACACAGACAGACAGACAGACACACAGACAGACAGACAGACAGACAGACAGGCAGTTAAAGAATCACAGGTTTCTAAAGCGTCCCGTCTGTTTATAAGTGCAATGGGAGCCGATGGAAGGAAGTCGAGGTGTTTGGCTTCATTTATCCTCCTGTGATTGGTTCTCTGCTGACGCCAATCGGGGATTTCCACCAATAGGGAAGAGGGGAGGGGGCGGGGCTTTGCTGCAGTGAGGTAAAAGCTGAGCGAGGGAGGAGGGCTCATAAAAAAGATGAGGAAGAAGAAGAGTGATACTAGTGTCCCTCTCTCTTTGAGGAGGTGCTGCTCTCCTCCGCCGCCTCCTCCTCGCTCTGCGCCGCCGCGACGGAGGAAGAGGAGGAAGAGGAGG